ATATCCAAATTAAAATGTTATTTAATTAATATGTATTAAATAAAAATAAATGCAAGAAATTAATTATCTTCACAATAAACTTTATTTTAAAATCACTGTAAAATACTTAAAAATTGTCAATGAAATTCTTATTGGCATATTTTCAATCGAAATGTTTTAAACAAAATTTATATTATACTCAAGATGAACTTCATAATTTTCTTCTCAAGCAAATGTTACATTGAATATATTGCAATGGTAAGACGAATCGACTAATGAATTGTGTATTGTTTTGTGTTCTTCTAAAGCCTTATAGTTGCAGAAAGTTTAAAAACAAATAATGCTATTAAATGGGTATAAATCGTGCATTATACGATGAGCATCCAAGTAAACTTCAGTTTAAAATTGACAATTACACACGAAACAAATGAATAGTCTACATTCAGAATGAGTAAAAAAAATGCTGAATTAAACAAATTTGTTCTTCGAAACCACGGTTGCTGCTAACATAATCGCTGAAAATTACATTTGATTAAGTCGTTGTATTGTTTCTTTCTTTCATTTCAGTGGAGAAATTTTGATGTAATATTTCATACTTTTGTAGTGTCTTCATTGTGGCAGGCGAGAAACGCCGTTTCTGCAATGAAATTTTTCTGAACGGCGCACAGTGGGACCAAGTTTCAAAAAGCTGGCCAAAAGTCGAAAAATAGAGTTCAAGTTCCGGTAATTTCTAGTCGTGAGTTCGGTTGGATAAGAGTCCGAAGGTCGAATTCTAGACTTTAGCGCCCCCTATCCCTTATACCTGCTATTATAGTTCAGTTGAAAGAGGACCCTCAATCGAGCTAGACGCGTCATGCGGTAAGCAAAGATTTCTACGCTATATTCAAGAGGGTGCCAAATCTCTAAAAATCAATCGAATTTAAATTTAAAAAATGGAATTTGCAGCTGCAAGTAAGCAGAATATCATTATGTAACACAAAATTGATCATAATACTTTATGTGATAACAGTAAATGAATGATTTGTACGAAAATGAACGGAAGATTACAACAGAAAATTTTAAACATGTAGAGAAAAGTTCATAAATTCTGTAGAGTTCTGCGACTGGACCGATCGCATNTTTCAGTACTTTTCTTTAATAATGTAACAGAAATACGTTTATAATAAATTTAATTTACACACACATCTTTATTAGAATCTTTATCCAATAAAATAATATCAAGCAAACAATTGCTTTATCTCACTTGCATACTTACTTTTTGGTAAAGTCTGTTTTTTGTCTTTCTTTCCCACCTGTAAACAATATACACGAATACAATTAGAAGGATTACAATAACAAGACTTAGAACGGTAACATAGATTTTCCATTTTACAGAAGAAATCGCAATTACTTCAGTTCGTGTGCAGAAATCACCAGACACAATTTCGGCAAAAGACAGAATAAACGAATTTCTTTGACACGAAACTTTTGAGAAATCGGCGATTTTCTGCATGTTCCTAAGCAACCAATCTTTAGTGAAACGTGAATTACAATCACAACTCCAATTGTTTACTGATAAGGAAATTTTAAATTCTTTAGAAGTGTCTATGAGATTCATTAATCCCGGAGAAAGTTCTGTTAACTGATTTTTATCTAATGACAGAAACGTTACGTGTGGAGGAAGGAAACAATCTGGAAAATTAATTAAAGAATTATTGCTTAAATTTAGATGCCTGACGTTTTCCCATCTCACAAAATCCAAATTTAACAATTCTTTTATGTAATTATTACTTAAATCGACGATGGTTGTATTTTGGAGCACAGCTTCTGGTATTTTCTTTATTCCTCTTCCAGAACAATTTAGCTTCACGTTATTATGTTCTGCAACACATTCACAATTCAGTGGACAATGATTTCCTATATTAATAAATTTTGTGTTTCCCAGGACGTTTCTTCCTTCTCCATAGCATTTCATATTGTGTATATTTGGAAACATTTTTAATGCTACATCTAAACTATACGTAAGTGTAAAAACAAACTGCTCTAGTTTGTGGTCACACGTGATTGAATTATTGTTTAAATCATAAGTAGGCATTTGAAATCCATACTTCCACTCATCCAAGTAAATTGTTCTGATTTTGCACTTAGACAAATCAATTTTCATGTCATTTGGAGTGTAAATTGGCAAATTCACTGTTTCAAAGTGATTATTTGCGAAATCTACTGTAGTCAAGTTGTATTCTGTCCAATTTATTATGGGCCATACTGTCAAACCAGCATTACTTACATCCAGGTGTCTTAGATGATTGCTTTTACCAAAAGGATGATTTCCAGAAATGTGAGTAATATTGTTGTAAGAAAGATTAAGATATAGTAAATTATTTAATGTATAGAAAATGTTTTCAGGTAAATGCTTCAGGCGATTTAATGCTAATATTAGAATTTGCAGGGATGACAAATTGAGAAAAACATCTTGTGGAAGATTTTCTAACCGATTATTCAATAGATTTATGTATTTCAGATTTGAAAGTCCATGAAATATTTTTCTCGGGAGTGTCGTTATTTTATTACCCGAAAAGGAAAAAATCGTCAGCATTTTGTTATTTTTCAGAAGATTTTCTGAAAGATGTTCAAATTGATTCAAGTCTAGATCTATGGCCGTTAAATTGATCAAGTCAGAAAATACATTTTCTTCGAGTGAAGAAAAGGAACAACCCCATGCATTTAACTCTCTCAAGTTGTGTAGTCCCTTGAAGAATCCAAACGGAATTTCTGATAATCTCTTGTGTCTATCAATATACAATGTCTTTAAATTAGAGAGACCCTTCAACATGTCACCAGGTAAATTCTTTATTTCGTTCCAACTTAAATACAAATATTCAAGTCGCGTGAGATTTCTAAAGACAAATGGAGGAAACGATTCAATGTGATTTTCACTTAGGTCCAGTTTTGTCAAATTCTGAAGGTTGTAAAATAGATCTTCCGGTAAAACTTTTAACATTCCATTCGTAATGTGTAACTCAGAAAGATTAATTAAATTCGAAAAAGGTCTTTTTTGAAATAAAGTGAAGTTATAATTTTTAATCTGCAAAGATGTTAGTAAAGGAACATTGATGAAAATCAAATGAAGTAAATCAGATGTTCTCACGCCTTGAATCACGACAGATTTCAATGATTGCAGATTAATGAAAGTTGCACTTTCGAAGTTTCTCTCATTTATTGTGTACAATATCTTCACGTTTTCGACTTTATACCCAAAGGTAAATATTCCAAAGTCCATTCCCGACATGTAACAATTACTAAAAGTTATATTTCGTACGTCTTTAACGTTCAAGCATCGCAGGAAATTAGAGTCAATGGTTTCGTGTTCGCAATTGATCAATATGGACTCATCGAATATTTCAACAGAGGAACGTTTACTTGACATATGGCAACTGTTTGCTGACGTTGTACAAGAAACGTTTCCCCAATTTTTCCAAAATTGTTCACAAGAATTTACCATTACGAATAGGAATTGTAAAAAGATAACAAACCTCATTTTGCCCAATTAGACTTCTTTTTTATTTGATCCTATAAATTTCTAGTGCCTCAAAAACAATCCACAAAAAATCACACTATTCCAGGTTGCTATTATTACTTACTTTGCTTTAGCGGTTGACAACACGATAAATTATGACGTGAAAGATATCTATTAATCATATCATATAAAAATTACGTATATATCACTGTTTTTCAATTTTTTTTATCTCGCGACACGGTTGAAGCTACAATTAAATTTCAGAAGAACACCTGAATTATAACAATTCAAAAAAAAGTGACGAGAAAGATCTCATTTTTATAATCTATTTATTAACACAAAGCACGATATATATATGATAGAGTGTGATAGAATAACGTATTACGTCAAAATAACATAAACGTCCACGTAATATTCCACGTACTACGTACCATGCTAATTATTTTTTTTTATGAGACATAAGTTACACTGTACCGCCTATTGTGGGTATTATTTTCTAAATATTTGTGTCACAGTTATACGACACAGGGCATTAATCGGTTAAAGTATTGGAAAAGTTACACAAATTGTATCATTATTTGAAGGTAAAATCATCTCAGTTTATATGCAATTAATTTACAAGAATTAAATTATTTTATAAATTGTACGATGCCTGCAAAATGTATATTTTTCTTGCGTATCTCTGTTTACTCGATAATGTCGTGTAAATTTAGTTTCATTTTCAAGTGATTAATTTATGATAAATAAAATTTTGAATTCCCAAAAGACAAAAGAAAAGATTATTTCGATAAATGAGATAATAAACATGCTCAAAGTTCATTCCTTTTTTTTTATTTTGAGTAACTTTTGACCCTAAAGACGTGTGTTTAGTATATTAGAAAGGAATAAATGCAAAATATTAACATATTCGTAAATAAAAATGTCGATTATCTGAAATTGGCAGAAAATTAATTTACAAAAAAAAAGACAGTGTGACAGTATTAAAGGATTAAGTTTTAAAGCAACGACAAAGACACCTGGTTGATAGTGTTTACGGGAGATACATGTATACACAGAGGAATAACTATAGGTTAATGAGTAATGTATACATTGGCATTTATTTATATCCACTATTGTTGTTTCGCTGCAATATGAAAAGATTGTACATCTATAAATTCTCATTAGCATTCGTCTGTATGTCATTCTTGAATTTCGAAAATAATGTTAGGTAGTAAAAGGTAGAAAAAAAAAAGCTGGAAAGCACAAAGACAGTAGGTCCTGGTTATCTTTATAACATCTTCAGGTATAAAACAAACGTAACGAAATCTCAATTCAAAAATTTTCCCCTGAGAAAAATTATATTTGGCAGGCACGATTCTGTTACTAACAGGAAACGTACGCACAAGAGCATGACAGTATTAACTTTATCTGGAAGGTTTATATTTTAAATTATTTATTTATTTTTATTTTCATTATTATAAAATAAATAGACAGTATAAAAATGTAAAAATACGATATAATTATTTTTTTCAATTTCCATATTCTAAAATTCACAGTAAGTGATTGTTTGAACCAATATAACTTTTAGCTATTTAATATGACTTGAGGAGACATCACTGTACTGATTACAGTAGAGCGTCGTTTATCCGAAAGTCTGTTATCCGAAACGTCAATTATCCGAAAGAATTCCAGTCGGCGAATTTAAATTTTTGCCAGTGCTGTGGCGCTGTAATCTTTGGCTATGTCTTGGGCTACTCAAATATTTTATGTTTTTGATACTAAATTAACTTCTGAAGTATAATTTTTTATTGTTTTTATATTTTTCAATATAATTATTTTGTTTGTACAAAATAAAAAAATAATTTTTAACGATACAATAGTCTT